CATAGTTTATTTTACAGCTAATATCCACTTATGAGTGAGTACATACCATGTTTGTCTTTCTGGCTTAGGGGACCTGGTGAGATGGCTCAAAGAGTAAAGGCATGTTACCTGAGTTCGATACCTAGAACCCACATAAAGAAGTGAATCCACTAAAGATGTATTCTGACCTCTTATCAGAGCACAAATAATTAAATAAATAAATAAAAAACCTAAGGTCACTCCCTCTTGAGTTCAGCTCCATATTTCTATTATTCCTAATCATAAACCCAAATAGAATCTGGGAGGTGCCCCCCTGTGGAGCCTCTCCAAGCTCCTGTTGGAGGCTGGCACAGCTGTTCCCAGTTACTGAGGGTATCCATCAATGGGCACTATTCAAGCAATCTACTTTGTCCCCATTCAAAAAAACAAACAAACAAATGAACTAACAAACAAACAGAAAAGCATAACACAAAGGTCAATGCCATGGACTCAATTCAGGCCAACTCTGAAGACCCACCAGCTTCAGTCCCCAATTAGCCTGTAGGCTCAGCTGAGGCTTCTTACTGTCTCTGCTTTGCGTGGGGCTTGTCTTTCCAACCAGTATTGCCGGTCTCACTTCCTTACAGGTGCCTCTTTTAGCCAATCACCATTAGAACTTATTGAGGAAAGGGATTTCCAGGATACCCCATCTACAATATAGCACAAATGCACAGTGCACATTAGTGTCACTCAGAGTCATGACTGAAACTCATTTTCTTACCTCATTAACCTAGACCATTCTTGCTTTCTGTGGCCAAACCTCTACCTATTGGAGAGGTTTTTTTTTTTTTTTTCCATTTTGTTTTTTTTTTTTTTTTCTATGAGGTGTGGGATACTGGTAGCTTACACTGACGGTCTGGTAGTAGCTAGCTGAACTCATTGTTAATTTAATAGCTGTTATTTTTGCTTGAGATTCTCGAGAATCAGAGCCTGAGAAGAAGAAAGACTCAAGTGAAAATGATGTATTAGAATCTAGGCCAGCTTCACTAATGTGCAAAGGATGATCACATACTGCACAGAAACCTATGCTTGACTTAATGCTCAGCCATAACATTTTGAAATTCCTAAATAATTTTGAGTATTTTTTTCTGCTCTGTATTGAGTCATATCAATAATATTCAGGGGTTGGCTGTGACCTGTTCCCAGGAAAATTTGACAGGAGAGTAAGTAGTAGAACAGGGAAGACAGAGGACAAGGGAGAAAGCACTGAGAAAAATACTAGAGAAAAGGGGAGACTCTGATCTCACTCCTTCAGGGAGTGCCACCGACAGCATAGAGGAAGCATTGCCAACAGCACAGACACAGCCACACTCCTGTCACCGGTTAAAGATAAGATGCAGAAAGCTTGTTAGTTACCAGGCACCTCCAGCTGTCCTGTGCCCAGGCCAAGAGCATGCTGAAGCTGAAGGTGTCAGTTTGACCACAAGATGTAGATGCTGGCAGGCAGGAAGTACACTTGGAATCGGTGTTCTTAAAACTGGAGAAGGATCACAAGAGATACGACCAAATGCTAACAGAAATTGTCAAAGTTTCAAATATGCTTTAATATGAACAGGCAAAAAAAATGGATGATGGTCAAACTATGATTTCATGAGTGGAATAACTAACTGAAATGGCATATACTCATTTATATGAAAAAAGTGAGCCTATATTATTATATATACTGCATATATATAATACCACAATATATATCATATACATAAATTTTATGATATCTGTCTCTCACACACACATATATATTGTGGGGACGCCAGACCTTGAGCAGAGACCCACTTCCCCATCAGCCTGGGAGTAGGCAGCTGTAAGACAATGTTTACTAAAAACATGTTTACTAAAAACAATACAATGCCCAGGGCAATAAGGTCCTGAAAAGGGCTGGCCCTTTCCAAAGACTAACTGCCTCTTCAGACCCACCCACCTCCACCTCTGGTGTTAGGGTATATAATAACCAGCCAGAATAGGAATAAAGAGAGCCTTCTTGAGGAGCCTTCTGGTCTGTGTTGTCAATCCCCGACACCCTCCGCACATTCTCGGACACAGGCTGTGCAGCGGGCGTGGCAATACTCACAGGAGATGAAATGTGAATCATTAAAAATTCAGGAAAAAGTCCAGAACCATGGGTAAAAGCACAAACTACAAATACCCTGCATCTAAAACCCAACTCTTCCACTTTCAGACTGAGTGGGTTAACTTTGCTGTGCCTGCCTACTAGGGTTGCTAGGAGAATGAAAAGATTTAATATATGTAAGGCTCTTAAAGCAACATCTGCCACACAGGAAACACTAGTTAAATGTTAGCTCTTACTGTTCTTGCCTTTTGGCTAATATGATCTTAACTCTCTGTAGAACAGTTGTCCCTCATTGCCCACAGGGGATTGATTCCAGGATCATCCTCCACTCATACTAAAATCTAAAGATGGAAAACTCTCAGATAAAATGACATCGAATTCACATATAACTTACCTACATCTTACATATGATGTTTTAATTATTCATAGATTATTATCTAGTCCTATATAATGTACATGTTAATTTTGTTATACTGTATTATAAATGAAATTAAGACATGAAAAACATATTCAGTACACTCAATTTTGTTTTCAAATATTTTCAATCTCCAGTTTAATCTGAGGCTACAGAGACCCCACAGATATAAATGATTAACTAGCCGGGCGTTGGTGGCGCATGCCTTTAATCCCAGCACTTGGGAGGCAGAGGCAGGCAGATCTCTGTGAGTTCGAGACCAGCCTGGTCTACAAAGTGAGTTCCAGGACAGCCTCCAAAGCTACAGAGAAACCCTGTCCTGAAAAACCAAAAATAAATAAATAAATAAATAAATAAAAAATAAATGATTAACTATTTTATTCTTAATTTATTTGTTGCAGACTAATTCTTTGGTATGAGAGAGAGAGAGAGAGAGAGAGAGAGAGAGAGAGAGAGAGAGAGAGAGAGAGAGAGAGAGAGGGTGGGAGGGAGAGAGAGAGAGAGAGAATAGGGTAGGGGGAACAAAATAAAAGGCCACACTTCAAATGACTTGATTTCTTTTTTTAACACTTTTTTATTATGTATTTAAATTAGGAACAAGCTTGCTTCCCATGTCAGTCCCAGCTCCCTCTCCATCCCCTTCACACCCACTCCCTCCCACCAGACCCCTCAACCCCCTACCCAATTCCCACTCCATTCCCCAGGGAGGGTAAGGCCCTCCATTGGGGATCTCTAGAGTCGGTCATTTCGTTCTGGGGAGGGCCCAGACCCTCCCCCAAGTGTCCAGGTTGAGAAAGCATCCCTCATTGTGGGATAGGTCCCCAAAGTCCATTTGTGTGCCAGGGATAAATACTGATCTACTACCCCAAGCCCCATAGATTGCCTGAGTCAATAGACAATTTCTGCAAAAGTTTGTACATGATCTTGGATTTCTGTTCTCTCCTAATGCAAATAACTGTGTGTGGACTGTTCTGTGGTTACAATTTGAAGAACACTAAGCCAGGCACTCTTCAATGAGCCACTTGGGTTGTTTTTGTCACAGACTAATGAGAGGAAAATTAAAAGTATCTGAAAGCACTTCACTGGGCTATATAATGATCAAGAAATGGAAATCACTGGTATAAACAAAATAATCACTTCTTTTATTAGGCCATTCTGTTTAGAATGTTGAACTGTCACTACCTGGATCAGCCAAGTATTTCCTACCCCTGTACAAAGTAGGAAATAAAGGGCAGGTTGTGGTTTGCACCTCAACAAGACCATTCTCTGGAGCCTGCTGAGACCACTCTGTCAAGCAAGTCATTCTTAAGTGTAAACAGGAGTGAATTTAATGCTACCAGTAGGATTCAGTGTCTAGATTCCAGCATCCCAACAACTCGTTTCTCTTCTGTAGGTGAAACTCCTCAGTGAAAGACTCACCTAATACTTGTATTTATTTATTCTTTGATTATCACAAATACTCGTTTTTTTCGTTTGATCTCTCATTTTAAAGAACATCTTTTATTTATTCCTTGACAATACATACATGTATTTTGATCACATCCAACTTCCTTTCCCACTCTCCTACCTCAATGCTTAAAATGTTTCCTTCCCATCTTCCTCCCTCCCTCCCTCCCTCCCTCCCTCCCTCCCTCCCTCCCTCCCTCCCTCTCACCCTCCCTCCCTGTAATGCACTGAGTCCAATCACTGTTCCCTGCTCTCACCCAATGCTAACGTCATTTCTAAAAGGGACTCTGCCCACATTGGGTCTTGGTGACCTACTTTGGCCTTCTGTCTAGATCCTGCTAAACGAGAAAGCAGATACCTAGGAGTGCCCTAGCAGACTGCTGAGTACTGCCATTTCTCCATAACCATCTCTACTGAACTCTGTCTTTTTGAAAGCAAGCCTCCCTTGGGTTGGTATCTCCTATCACGTTTAGTATAATGCTTGACAAGCAACAGGTGTTTTCTTTCTTTGAATGGCTGTAGGCAGCTATTGTGGAAGCAAAACTGACCCTTCAATCTACCAAACTCTAAATCCATACAAAAGAAAAAAAAAAAAAGACCAAGCTGATCCAATTAATTTATTACGTACAACTCTGCCAAGTTGGGGGGCATCAGGAAGCACAAATTTCACAGGGATCAAGGGAGAAGGCATGGTAGGTGATGTACTTAACATTTAGCAATCCGGCTTTACTTCCATTTCTGAGAAACAACATCCCCGTGGACTCAGAGCCCTTTAAATATGAAGGTGGCCATTTCCTGAGACTTCTGGACCAGAGCCTCACTTATGTGGAGGGGGTTTTGGCAGAGCTCATCTTCGCAGCACGGGAACTGCAGAGAGCTTGGGCAGTGCGTGGTGGTGGCGGCGCGTGGCTGCCGGCCCGCCGCACCGCAGCGAGCTGCACCAACCTCGCCTCGGGCACGCGTGTGCACACACGCGACGGTCTCAGCAGAGCGCGGCGAGGGCGTCCCGGGCCGGTGGGCCGGAGCTGAGGGGGGGTGTGGGGTGTGGGAGGAGACGGCTGCCCCGCCCACCGGGCCGCGCCCCGCCCACGCGCGCGGGGAGGAGCCCGAGCGGAGTCGGGAGGAGAGGTCGGGCGGTCTGGGAGAGCGGAGAGACCGACTCCTGGGCTGCGGCGGCGGTGGCGGCGGGTGAGTGCCCAGCGATCGCCGGGACCGGGCCGAGGGGACCTAAACAGAACGGGGCCGGGCGCCTCCACCTCGGGGCCGCCTGCGGGTCCCGCGAGCCGGCCGCGGGCTGGAGCGAGGGAAGCGGAGGAAGGAAGCGCGCGCTGCGGGCGCCCTGGGCCGCGGGAGGGGAGTGGAAGAGAGGCCCGCCACGGCCCACCGGCGCGAGAGCCCGGGGACACGAGCGACTCCCCAGGCTGGGTCTCTGCCGCCACCCAGCCCGGCCTCGACCCGCCAGGCGGGGAGGCCCGGGAGTCACCGCCCAGCTCGCGGCGGTGCGGGAGGAGCGGGTCGGGGCGGCCACGAGCGCCCCTCCTCTCCCCGCGCCGGTGTGCAGACGCGCGTGGGCTGGCAGCCCAGGTGCTCAGTCCGCAAAGTGGGGGTGGTGGCGGGGAAGGGGTAGATCGTGGAGAGAACTCGGGTGTCACTCTACGAGGGACCCTGCGGCGGTGACTCAAACAGGAAGGTCGGAGTTCAAACTTGAGCATTGCGTGATTTATTCCTTTTTTTTTTTTCAATGTAGCGCCGGACGCTTAGCCCGTGGGTTAGAGAAACTCGTTTTCATTTTAGTAAAGGCCTGCCGATTTAAATCTCATTTTAAGACGCCATTGCTAGTGTCTGCTGACACTCATTTATCCTGGCCGTGAATGTCTTGTAAACTTGACATAAATCATTCATAACTTTCGCAAAGGGAGCCGCGATTCCTGTAAAAAAAACTTTGAGCAACTGGAAATCAGCTGTAAGGATCTGCCGAGGCCTGTGGTCTCGTGGTCCTGTGCGGGCGTGGCTGTGCACAAACAAGTGGGTAGGAAAGGAAACAGCCCCGTGCCTGAGCTGGAGGGGAGGTCTGTGCCCATGTGCCAGGGCACGTTTAACCGCGGCTCCCAGTGGAGACACTAGGGATGTCTTAGGCCTTGTTGGACGGACTTCACATGATTCGCCCTATTCCGGTCAGTTATTTCCTCTCCCCTCGGCTGTCTTTGGACACTGTTTATATTTCCTGGGGCGGTCGGAGCGCCTCCTGAATAGATTGTCTATAATGAATCTTTTGGATGTTGTCAGAGCCAGGCTCTGCGTCTGTGTGTTCTCAATTTTTAAAGCAATAGCTTGGCTTTGTTTTTAGAATGCTGGTCACCCTGCTGCACCATTGCTTGGCACTTCAGACCATGGATGTAAATTACCCCTGGATTCCAGCCCTTCCCCTGGGAAGACGGGAAAGCAGGCCACTCTAGAACAGTGGGGTTAAATCTACTCTTGTCAAGCTGTCACTTTCAAATAGGGGGGTCCCCCACTTTTTAGAACAAAAAAAAATGTATATGTCAGCAAGGTCATTTTTCAGTAAATAAACATGTGGTTCTCACATATTTTTAATTTTTCTTTATTTTTGTCTTTTTCATACATGTGTACCCCCTTACTCTCCTTCAGCCCCCCTCCCACTGACCACCTTCTTCCTTCCAGCCACATTTTAAAAAACAATCGATTGTAGACTGCTAAGTGGACTTTAGATAAACACTCAGACTCTCTGCCTTCCTTAGCAGTCGGTCAGCACCGTAAAGCTATGGGTTAAGTCCTCCAGTGAATGCTGAACAGCAACAGAGACACATTCGTGTTTAGCACACGCAGTTTACTAGGTGTGGAACCCCAGTGCAGTGCACAGCTTTTAGGTTTGTATAGAGCTGTGTAAAAATGAGGGTCCGTGCTTCACAAGAGACTGCAGGTGTGGCATGGAAAGGCAGTACACGCACCTGTGCACAAAGCTCTGAGTTAGGTTGCTGTTGTCACCTGTCACAGAACACGAATGGTGATCTGGTTGTGAGAACAAAGGGCTTCAGAGTACAAGAGAGCTCCGGAAAAGTTAGCTAATGCCCAATAGTTTTTGTTTCAAACCTCTCCCTAGTAGGAAAAAAAAATTAGAATGCCATCACTTACTGTGCTGAGTTTTCGTTAGGTGGGTTTGTTTTTTGTTGTATCTGTTTTGTTTTAGTATAAGCTTTACCTAGGAAGATAAGTTCTACAAGTAATTTTTCTGAGCCCTGACTGGGAAGAGAAGTGGTTTCACAGAGGTTTCCTGTGTGAGCTTTCTTCTTAGACCAGGATGAGAATAGTATTTCGTCTTTTTCAGTCTGATTTGTAAAATAGGAGTAATAATGATCTCAATTTCTAGTATTTTAATGAAAGCATATCAGCTAGTCTTTGGAAAACATAGGCTGAAACTAACCTATGGTAAGTGCTTAGAATGTTCCTTTCTTTTCTTTTTTTAACTAGTTTACTCAGTCAGTAGGGTACTGGGTAAGTTATGATAGCCACAACCTTCTGGAAATGCCAGATATCACAATTTTAAGTTCTAGAGAATGTTGAATGTTGGCATGGTAACTCTGCAGTTGGCAAAGCTGAGGCAGGAGAATTTCTGTGAGTTCACACCCAGTCTAGACAAAATAGTAAGTTCCAGGCTAACCTAGAACTAGAGTGAGATCTTGCTCAAGTAACTAGAAAGTTGATCACATTTTTTGTGTGTAAATATGTATTAAGTTTGTATGTCCTGTTTCTGCCATAGTAGTAGGAATAATAATGATTGAATCAATAATTTTAATAATGCTTTTGGCATTGTTAAGTACATAATATTTTTAGGGCTAGGCAATTAGGAACATGAGTTAGCTTTTAAATTTAAAGAGAGTTTTTATTTCAAATAGTTACATTTGTTAATCTTGGATAGGAAATTAAATCAGAAACAGAAGCAGCATTTATCTGTAACCAAATATGACTTTTAGGGTTTGAAAAGATGCAATCCAAGAGTATGTTGATGTTTGCTCTTGTGTGTATGGCTATCCAAGGCCAGCAGATAAGCCAGTAGAAGTGGGGACTAATTGTGTTTATTTTTGTGAGAGTGGATGGATAGTTAATTCAGGGAATGAACTCATGGGGTCTCTGAATCATTTGCTAAAATTTGCAAAACTTGAAAAAGTTTTTACTTTAAAAACAACCCCCTTAAGCACCTGTTTTTTCCTTAATACATATCAGATACATAGAATCAAATTGGTCTGGGCGGTGGCTCATGTCAGAGTGACACAGAAATACTAGTTTATAATGATTTCCAGTATAAAGCATTCAGTGTCCATTATGAATTGTTTTGGGCCCGTGACAGTGCCCTGTTGTAGTGAAAGACTTGATTGAATAAATTACTGCTTGCTTTTACTCCTAGAACATTACAGCATATGATGGATGGCTGACTTGTGTTCCTAGGTGTAGAGATCGGATGACTTGGTTAACTTCTCTTTTATTGAGATTGTGAGGGAAAGTGAATTTGTCTGCATAGACCGTGTGGAACATTGCCTGACATGTAGTCTATAGTCAATGAGTATTAGCATTAATACATCTTTGTACAGGCGATGAACTTGCCTTACTTTTATAACAGGAAAATGGCCTCACAAAATTTTCATATTTCTCTCAAATCCAAAAAAGCTGGTATTCAAAATGTCCTGCCAAATTGTACTTACAAAGTAAGAGACTATGCATTAATTAGGCAGTAGTATTTTGTCTTTCAAATATGAAATGGGTTTTGATATCAACTTTCTTAGCAAATTAATTCTAGATCTTAATTTCATTTTCTTTTCTAACCTGTAACTTCATGCATGAAGTTTTTTTTTTAGGTTACACAGTTGGATGACAGGTGCAAATGTAGTGCATTATTAACAATTACAGTTAGCTACGCATTTTTGTAAAGGCTTTAAAGGAAATACAGACAAATGGATGTCTCCATTTTCTCCCAGTAAGCATGCACATATAACAAATCATTTGTAATAGTTACTCAGAATTCTTATCTATAAACGCATATAGCAGAATTTTGTTTCCTTGTTAAAAAAAAAAAACAGCTTTTGTGACAGGAATGCCATAAAACTAAATGCCAAAATCTTTGCAGTAGATGGGAAGCCCTTCAGAAGTTTTTAAGTTTTATCTTCATATGAGAGAGAGAGAGAGAGAGAGAGAGAGAGAGAGAGAGAGAGAGAGAGAGAGAGACTGGCGATTGACTCTAGGGACTTGTACATGCTATGTGGTGCTGTACAGTGCTGTACAGTCACAGGCCTCGTACCACCGCATCCCAAGTCCTGGGGTGACGGATCTATGCTGCCCTGAGAGAGATAAGGAAGAGCTGCGTAGACACCAAGCCTCAATTCACAGAAGTTGGTACTTCCAGACCCAGGTCTTCTGCCTTGACAATCTGCAAATACACCTCCAGTCTGTCCTGATGACAGGAATGAGGAAGAAAACGGGGCACTGAGGCTAACAGGAACATCGGTTAAATAAAACATGTGGCAACAATATTGAGTGCTTATCATTGAGCTGCCACACACCCTGGGCCCTTTCTAGACCTTTTCTGAGTCCAGATCTTGCTCAGCTCTCACCAAGGCCCACATGAGGCTGGTGGTCCTTAAGCATCCAAACCTCAAAGGGTAGAGCAAAATTTTCCTCAGAGTTGCTGTTATTCCATAGCTGATTCAACACTTAGCCAGGGGTCATAGGAGAAAAGGGGAGAGAGCAGAGGGCCTAATGGGGGTGGGGGGAATGTAATGTAAATTGGAAAGCTGTAAATCAAGTGGGGAGGGCTTCTTACCCAAGAGGGACAAGCAACCAGAAGAGAATTAAGGGTGCCTGTCCATTGGGGCTCACTGCCTCTTTGATCATTGCAGTTAGTACCCTGTATAATACCTGGGACGCAGCAGGCCTGGGGTACATTCACAGGCAAGTCTTTCAGAGACCTGTGAAGCTGTCTTCTCACAGTTCCCAGAGGAAATCTTGGATGGGCAGAAAAGAAAATTGGCCTGCAAAGTCCCGTTGCAGAGCTGCTCCTGCCAGCAGGTACACAGCACCCTACATTTTCTCTCAAGGGCAGGGGAGCAGAAGGTGGGCAGCTTGGAGCTGGGCAGACAGTGGAAGATGACTTCCAGCTGGATTCTTCCAGTCATGCC